GCAACACCTCAAGATAAGGCTAAAACCATGATTTTCCTTCGCCATCACCTCCATGAAGGGCTCAAAAATGAATATTTAACTGTGAAAGACCCACAAATCCTTTGGAGTAATCTAAAGGAAAGGTATGACCACCAAAAAATAGTGATACTCTCTAGAGCTCGTTATGATTGGTTGAATTTGAGATTGCAAGATTTTAAATCTGTTAGTGAATATAAATTAGCTATGTTCAAAATAACTTCTCAATTGAAATTATGTGGAGAAAATATTACTGATGCAGAAATGCTTGAAAAGACATACTCCACTTTTCATGCAAATAATATTGTCTTGCAGACACAATATAGAAAAAAAGGATTTCAAAAATATTCTGAATTGATATCTTGTCTTCTTGTGGCTGAGCAAAATAACGAGCTGTTAATGAAAAATCATGAATCACGTCCTACTGGCTCTACTCCATTCCCTGAAGCGAATGTGACAACCCATAACGGGAAAGAAACTAAAAATAGAGACCATTCTAGCAGAGTAGCAGTAGTGGTCGAGGTAGAGGTCGCGGTCGCGGGCATGGATTTAGTGGATATGGTAGAGGTCGTAGAGGTCATTTCACAAACTCACATTCCCACCAGAAGTGAGAACGTAGGGATGATAAAGTTGAGAAAGAGAAAAAGTGAGACCAATATATGCTACCGTTGTGGAGTAAAAGGCCATTGGTCTCGGGGTTGTAGAACTCCAAAGCATGTGGTTGAACTTTACCAAAAATCATTGAAGAAAGGAAAGAAAGTTGAGGCAAACCTTGTTCTTGAAGATGGTGACGACGATTTTGATTTTGGCAATGCAAATCATGTAGAAGTTGCTGATTTCTTCATTTCCCCGGAAGGGAATAATTTTGATTTTGGCAATGCAACTCATTTAGAAGTTGCTGATTTCTTCACTTTCCCGGAAGGGAATAATTAAATTTATATTAATATGTTTTATCTGTATTAGACTTAATTTAGTGATTTACTTATGTTAATTATAATGGTTGTAATAAAGACTTTATATGCTTTATGAAATTATGAACTATTTAGGTATTTTTATTGATTTATTTATTTTATTATCATTAATTTTTTGCTTAATATTTTGACATGTATTTTATTTCATGAAGAATATGGATATTACTCAAGTTCAGTTTGCTATGAATGGTGAAGAATTGTGTTTGGCTTACAGTGCAACTACTCATACTATACTTAAAAATAAAAAATATTTTTCTCATTTGATGATGAAAAGGATTAATGTGAGTACCATATCGGGTAGTACAAATATCATTGAAGGCTCCGGAAGAGCCAACATACAATTGCTATGGGGACTCGATCTGAAATTAAAATTATTGATGCATTATACTCCCCATTGTCTCAAAGAAATTTATTAAGGTTTAAGGATATTCGCAACAATGGTTATCATATTGAGACCAATCAATGAAGAAAATAATGAATTCCTTCAATGCACGAATATAACTCAAGGCACAAAACATGTTTTGGAGAAACCCCCTACGTTCTCCACTGGTTTGTACTACACCAAAATCAATGCTAGTGAAACTCATGCTATAGTAAACCAGAAATTTACTGATAACTTTGTTGTTTGGCATGACCGCTTAGGTCATCCCGGTTCAATAATGATGTGAAAAATAATTAAGAATTCATGTGGACATTCTTTGAAGAGCCAGCAGATTCTTCATAATAATTTTCATGTGCTGCTTGCTCAGAAGGCAAGTTAATAATTCGTCCATCACCAGCTAAAATTAATTTTAAATCAATCAGTTTTCTGGAACGTATACAAGGAGATATTTGTGGGCCCATACATCCCCCATGTGGACCATTTAGATCTTTTATGGTTTTAATCGATGCGTCCTTGTTATCAACTCGTAACATGGCGTTTGCGAGATTATGCCTAATTGATAAAATTACGGGCACATTTTCCAAATACTCCTATTAAGACTATTCGTCTTGATAATGCTGGTGAATTTACTTCTCAAGCTTTCAATGATTATTGGATGTCCATTGGGATAAATGTTAAACATCCTGTAGCACATGTTCATACACAGAACGGTTTGGCAGAGTCATTAATTAAACGTATTCAGTTAATTGTTAGACCATTGCTTGTGAAATCCAATTTTCCAATTTCTGTATGGGGACATGCTATATTACATGCAACAACACTAATTCGCATCAGGCCAAGAAGTTATCACAAGTTCTCCCCTTTACAATTGGTTTATGGCCAGGAACCGGATATTTTCCATCTAAGAATTTTTTGGATGTGTGGTCTATGTTCCAATTGCTCCACCACAACGCTCTAAGATGGGTCCTCAAAGGAGGTTGGGAATATATGTCGGATTTGAATCCCCGTCAATAATTAAATATCTTGAGCCTACAACAAGGGATTTATTTACGGCTCATTTTGCAGATTGTTATTTTATCGAGTCACTTTTCCCAACATTAGGGGTAAAAAAGAGAGAGCTAAAAAAGGAAATCAAATGGAATGAATTATCATTATCCTATCTTGATCCTCGAACTAAACAATGTGAACTGCAAGTTCAAAAGATAATTCATATACAAAGTTTAGCAAATCAATTGCCATACTCGTTTTCTAACCCCAAAAGAGTGACTAAGTCACATATTCCAGCTGTAAATGCTCTATTTAAAATAGATGTCCCAAAAGGAAAAAATAAATTTGCTAAGGAGTCTAAATCACGTCAAAAACGTGGAAGACCAATAGGTTCCAAAGATAAGAATCCTCGGAAAAGAAAAAGGAGCAATGATTGATGATGGTCAAATCGAGGAAACAATTTCCGATGGAACTCCAGAAGAGACTTTAAACATGATACAAGAAATTCAGGTACATGATAATGAAGAAATTTCAACAAATTATATCATGGCTGGAATTACATGAAACCGAAATCAAATCGACGTCGATGATGTTTTTGCATGCAATGTAGCTTTAGATGTTATGGATAATAATGAGGATCATGAACCAAAATCCATTGAAGAATGTAGACAAAGAAATGATTGGCCAAAATGGAAAGAAGCAATTGAAGCAGAATTAAAATCTCTTGGAAAAAGAGAAGTATTCAGACCTGTAGTCCGTACACCTGAAGGTGTAAAACCAGTGGGATATAAATGGGTCTTTGTGTGAAAGAGAAATGAAAAGGGTGAAGTTGTAAGATATAAGACACGATTAGTTGCACAAGGATTCTCACAAAGACCAGGTATTGATTATGAGGAGACATACTCTCCTATGGTGGATGCAACTACTTTTAGATTTTGATTAGTCTGGCAATCAGAGAAGGACTTGACTTACGTTTGATGGATGTAGTCACAACTTACTTATATGGCCCACTGGATAATGACATTTACATTAAGCTCCTAGAAGGATTCAAGCTACCAGAAGCAGCAAAATCTAGTTCTCGAGAGCATTTCTGTATTAAATTGAACAAATCTATTTATGGATTGAAACAGTCTGGGCGTATGTAGTATAACCGTCTAAGTGAGTATTTGTTAAAAGAAGGTTATAAGAATGATCCTTTCGGCCAATGTATTTTTATAAGGAAATTTAGACCAGGATTTGTTATAATTGATGTTGATGATTTGAATATCATTGGAACTCCTGAAGAGATTTCGGTGACTGTCAATTGTTTAAAGAAAGAGTTTGAAAAGAAAGATCTTGGAAATACAAAATTTTGCTTAGGGTTACAAATAGAGCACCTAGAGAATGGAATCCTTGTGCATCAATCAACATACATAGAAAAAGTTCTTAAAAGATTTTCTATGGATACAGCACATCCATTGAGCAGCCCTATGGTTGTAAGATCACTTGATGTAGAGAAGGATCATTTCCGACCTCGGGAAAATGATGAAGAAATTCTTGGTTCTGAAGTGCCATACCTAAGTGCAATTGGAGCACTAATGTACCTTGCAAGTCATACACGACCCGACATATCATTTTCAGTTAATTTATTAGCAAGGTTTAGTTCATGTCCAACCCGAAGGCATTGGAATGGGATTAAACATATACTTCGTTACCTTCAAGGTACGAAGGATATGGGTTTATTTTTTCCTAAGTTGTCAAAAGAAAATTTGATTGGTTTTGCAGATGCAGGTTATTTATCTGATCCACATAATGCTCGATCACAAACTGGATATGTGTTCACATATGGTGGTACTGCCAATTCTTGGCGTTCCATGAAACAAACCATTGCAGCTACTTCTTCCAATTATTCTGAGATTTTTGCAATTCACAAGGCTATTCGTGAATGTGTATGGTTAAGGTCGGTAATTCAACATATAAAAGAAGTTTGTGGTTGATCATCCGGGAAAGAGGCACCAACAACTCTATATTATAAGGATAATGCAGCTTGTATTGCTCAACTTAAGTAAGGATACATCAAAGGTGATAGAACAAAGCACATCTCACCCAAATTTTTCTTTACTCATGATCTTCAGAATAATGGAGATATAAATGTTATGCAGATTCGTTCATGTGAGAACTTAACAGACTTATTTACTAAGGCTCTTCCAACTGCAACATTCTCAAAGATCTCCAATGATATAATAATGAGGGGGAGTAACTGCGCGCTGCACTCTTTTTCCTTATCCATGGTTTTTCCCCACAGGGTTTTTTCTGGAAAGGTTTTAAAGAGGCAGCATATATGCGCATTAAATCTATTTTAGATAATGCCCATCCAAGGGGGAGTGTTACAATATATATTTATATTGGATGTCCATTATGGCTTGTAACCCCCTAATATTATGCCACCCATTGTAACCTCCTTGTAACCCCCATATGCCATTACCTCCATTGTAACTCCCACATAAATGGAATCTAATTGTCCATGAAGGTTACACTATTCTCACCATGTATATATATGCACTACTACAAAAAAGGCCAAAGAAACCTATAATAAGACACCTGTTGGTAAATGCAGCAGGTCTCTTTGACATAAGAGACCTAATATTAGTAACAACAGGTCTCTAAAATGTCAAAGGGCCCACCACTTTTGTTGCGGGATATAGAGGGAGGGAATTAAGAGACCTATTGTTAAACTCAACAGGTCTCTTATGTGTGTAAGGGCCCACCATGACCCTCACCTTCAGTGGCGTCCCCCTATTTTCAAAAAAAAAAATTAAAAAAAAACAAAAGAAAAAAAACAAGAGCCTAAGACATAAAGAAGAAAACAAAAACTAAACCCTAACTTTTCAATTTTCAGTTTCTCTCTCTTCGAAGGCGGAAGGTCTCCAGGTCGCCATTGATTCGTCGTCACTGTTCGCCGTGCGTGGGGTTTCAGGCGAAAGCTCGGCCAGACGCTGCTTCCACTGGCTGCTTCGCAAATCTCAAATCTCAAGTTAACAAGTTCGCATTTCGCAAATCTCCAGTTCGTTGTTCGCACTTCGCAAATTCAATTAGCCAATTCACCCAAATCAATTAATCAATGGAGGTATGTATTATGTAAATCTGAATTTCATTACTTGTTTAATTGTTTTATAGTTTATACTTTTATTGTGAATTTGTCATTTGTGGGTATTGAATTGATTAATGATTATATAAAGTTTTGAATTTTGAACTGAGTCCGCCGCTCTCGCTCGTCGGCTCCACTCCCAGCACTCCGTCCCTCCGTCCTTCGAGTCGCCGTCGTCGCTGCTTCGTGATTCACTGCTTCGTCCGTTCGTCTGCTCGTCGCTGGACTCGCTGATCTCCATTCAACTTTGCTCACTTCGCTAAATCGCTAGACCCAATTCACAGTATGTAAATTTGAATTTAATCTCTGAATTATTAGTTTATTACTTGTTTAATTGTTTTACAGTTATACTTTTATTCAATTATTCTGGGTATTGAAGATTTGAAGTATTGAAGTATTGAAATTTTGAAATGTGTTGGTTCATTGTCTTATTGAAATCTCTGAATATTGAAATTTGTTGGTTAATTGGTTTATTACTTGTTTTTTCTTCTGTTTTTGTGAATTTATTGAAATAATGAAATGTATAGTTAATTTTGTGAACTTTTGATTGCATTTTTTTCTCCCGTTTTTGTGAATTTTTTGAAATGTATAGTTGAACTAGAAATGTAATGTGGTATTGTTCATTTTGAAATTTGTGTATCGAAATGCTTTTATGCAGGAATAGGAAGAGATGATTTGTTCCTAAATCAGTTGTTAAGGTTGTGTTTATGTTGTTGCTATCTAGTTTTTGACCTGAATTAAAGCCTTGTAGTTTTTTTTTTTCATTGATCCTCTTAATGGTGTACAGGAGGATGAGCAATTCAAGAAACTCGCTAAGCTGATAAATGGAGGGCTAAAGAATTACCCATGATGTGTTGTATTCACTTGCCGCATAAAATGATAGGACTGTTGTTGGTTTTGGTAACTTGTAAATTATTTCCAAAAGTTCTTATATACTTGTAAATTATTTCTATAAGTTCTTGTATACTTGTAAACTATTTCTATAAGTTCTTATATACTTGTAAATTATTATTCTTCTTATTTACTTGTAAATGTTACTCACTACTGTAGTAAGTTACTACTAGTGATTCAATAATAATATAAGTTTATGTAAATTTATTTAATTGTTTGATTTTGTGATTTTACAATTTCTTTCCATTTTTAGTAGAATAATTACAAAATAATAAATATATATCATTGAATTTTTATTTTAAAAAAAATAGAATAAAGAGACCTGTTATCTAATGTAATAGGTCTCTTAATGGATATCAAAGAGACCTGTTGCGTTAAATAACAGGTCTCTTCCCCTTCTTAAATATGTGATGTAATTACATGCAAAGAGACCTGTTAACTTCTTAAACAGGTCTCTTATTTATTACAAAGAGACATGTTCCATTGAACAGGTCTCTTTATCAAAGAGACCTGTGAGCTAGAGACCTCCTCTAAACAGGTCTCTTATGTCATTTACAACGGGTCTCTTTGGCCTTTTTTGTAGTAGTGATGGCATGGTGAAATGAGAAGACAATAAGAGATTACTATCTACATCTCTCTCTCTCTCTAATATTCTTCCTTTCCTTTATTTTCATAATAAAATCATATAGGACTCAATTTTTCAAAACCGAATTTAAATTTGGATTGGATTGAATGTGACCCTATATTCAAACTAAACACTAAATTGACACCCCTATTAAAAACTTAGTCAATAACATTAACTTAATAATTAATTATCAAACTTGTATGTATAAAGTACAAACTTTTTCTATACCAAAACATATGACCTTTGCATTATAAACTATGGTCGAAAAGGTTTTTAGTTGATAACATTAATTCCCGACCCTTCAAATTCACTCTTATAACTAATTACGTGTATGTTCATCTTTTCTTAATAGCTGAGCTACATATGTAATTATCAAATCACTTCAATTAAAGAAAAATTTTATTCTAATAATTTCACATTTGGCCGATTTGCTATTAATAATCCCACCTTTGGATTATTATCTAATAACCCCACCTTTATAAGGCATTCTCTTTTATTGGTCCCTAATATGTTGGTAACCGATTTTAATAGGTTAAGATGCCATGTGACACTTTGTGATTGGTTGAAAAAATAAAAATTAATTAAAAAAAAAGAAAAAATTTATAAAAAAACAAAAGAAAAAACTATTCCCAAAAATCAAACCTGTTGTGGTGGTCGGGCTGCGTATCTGGTTGTTGTAGTGGCGGTAACGTGTTCCCGTATTTTTAAGAGAAGAGGGGCGGAATCGGTGTGGTTTTAGGGGAAGGGGAGGCGGTTTCCGCTGGGTGGGGAGTGGGGAGGGCCGAGGGGCGGTTTTCGGTTGTAGGGTTGGGGAGGTGGGGCTGTTGGAGGGTTGGCTGATGGAAGGTGGGGTGGCGTGGTGGTTGGGATGCTTGGGGTTCTTTTTCTTTCTTTTTTTTTTTAAAAAAAAAAATTTAGTTTTTTTTTTACCAATCACTAATTGACACGTGTCACTTAATTTTTTTTTTTTTTTGTAAAAGTTAACCCATTGTACAGGTTACCGGTCACAAAGGACCAGTAGAAGCAAATGTCCTATAAAAGTGGGATTATTAGATAATAATCCAAAGGTGGAATTATTAATAGTGAACCGGCCAAAAGTGGAATTATTAGAATCAAATTTTCTTAATTAAAAGATTAACTTTATTTTCAATTGACTAAATAGACAATGAGAATTGGAGGGAGATATTCCTATATTTTTTTTTTCTTCTTTGAGTCTTGATATTGATAAAAACTTCATCTTTGGAAAGACCAACCACATGTCCTAAGCAATTTAAAACTATATTTTTCAATTTCCGAGTAATTGTATAAACCATGGTCGGTGCTTACATGAATTTTTGTTTAATAAAACATACAAGTACGAAGTTGTACATTTATACTAGTAATTTCTTGGTGTTCACACTTAAATACATTTCTTATAGCTCATAATTTTAAGCCTAGTAACTTTGAAATAAGCAACTTATGATTTAGAACTTCAACAAAAAAGTACGGATTTCCATAGGACCAAGCTCTACCACAAGGGTGGAACCATCAACAGGACTTCCTCTAAGAGGGATGTGCTCTTGTGCTCCCACGTTACTCGAGTCTTCTCCTTCAACTCTCCATTTTAGCCTTTTCATCTCTGACTTCTCCTGGTTTGCTGATAAGCTCATCTCTTTTACCTCTTTTATCTGAAAACATTTTGTGTGCAGCAGAATGCAAGTCGCTAAGAGTTACTAAGGTCGACGATAAGGAAGGAAAAAAAGATAATTGTTATCCTAGACTATGAAGTCCATACGGTCTTTGAAATATTGCAGAACTTAAGTAGCTAGTGAATCAAACCTGTTTTCCAGTGAACATTTTTCTGAGTTCAACGATGGCCATTCTTGAGTATTCAGCATCTTCACCAGCCTAAGCATAGTAGAACCATAAATGATGAAAATGGAAAGACAAAATATATTAATGGCATAAGAACAGTAAGCTCTTATAGACACATATATGATGTAGCACACAAGGACACAATATATTAGATTATCAGCGCCTCTAAAACTCTGTAAGATGTTTCTGCACCAAGTGCAACTTTCAATTAGTGGTTTTCCTTATATGGTAGATAATATACCAAGTTGTTCTGTATCCAAGCTAGGGAATCATGTCAGACTAGCCCGGAAACTCTATATTAACTCTAATTCTATTTTGAGGATGCCCTTTTCTGCGTTTAATGAATCGATTTAATGGTTGGACATACAGAAATATTCAGTTCAATGGGATTTAATAGATAACTGCTGCTTCAAAGGGAAAGTCCAAAAACAATATTGATTTGCAGTTGTGCACCATATTTCTAGCCGGTTTATGATCTCTGGTGCAAGAGAAATTTATAACTTTTGCAATAGGTCGAATGTAGATGTCAAAGTTTCCCTACCCTCAGGAGTGTATCTAATATTCTCAAATTTTTTGTGTGCGTTATCGTTGCTGTAAGTGTCTGCCCATCTCTTTAGATAAGGGCCACACTGGCAGACCTCAGTATGCAAACTTGAGATACTTATGTTCAGAGATATTATAGGAGATGGCAGCAAGGCAGAGAGCTAACAAAAAAAAAAAAAAAAAAACTCGGTCTGATTCAAATGAAAGGTAATGAAGATTTAAGGGCAAAGGCAAACAGAGGTTTTACCTCATAGAGATGTGCTAAGCGGAGTAGTACATATTTATCTTCCAATTCCTGCAAAGTTGAGCATTCATCAGTTAGACAAGTCTTGAAAGGCAAGCTTGAAAATACACATACTTCCTTAGAGACCCTAGGAGCTGCTTTTGAGAATCATTTTCAAAACAAGATGTTGCTTAGCCAGAATCATAATGAATTAACAAGTACCTGAAGAGTTATCAAGGCAACATTAAGAGGTAAGCTGTAGTTTGAATCCATTGAGGTTGCCTTTGTTGATCGAGAAGCCTTCCAACTGTCTGAGTTCTGTACGTGGTGATAGACCATGTTAAAATCATGTAGATAGCAACTTGCTTTAGTTATCTACTACAGAGTAATATTCAGGCCATACCTCATGTGTGAAAGCCAAAAGTAAAGGAGAGTAGACTTCTTGACCAGCGGTTCTGCGCCACTGAGCACCAGCTCCTAACTTGTGGATGTTCACATAATAGTGTCCGCGAATCTAGCCAAGAATGACAAGCTTAATGATGCATTCCACTACTGATGCAATGAGTTGTATACACATACACATGGTAAATACATGAAACAATCAGCAATTTTAATACATCAATTGAAAACATAATATATTAATAACAAATTGATTAGATGAATCACTTCACCCCTCATCTTCCCCATTAGAGCTTTGAGAAGTAAACACAGGTTATGCAGGACAGCAGGAGAAATCATCTTTTCTGCATGCCATGATATCTCAAACCTTGAGATGTAGTGTCTCTCAGCTAGAGTTAAGTAACTTGATATATCATACACCTAGTTGTCTCACAACTCAGATATATGACCTAAATAATTCAACAGATTTGAAATGGGTTACCACAGGGTTATATCGGGTCTATTTCAAATTATGTTCAGTTTCATTTCAGATCAGTTCAGTTCAGGCATGATTAGATGTTTTTGTTCCGTAATAGAGTAAACAGACAGTTTAAATTAATGTAAAACATGTGCGTTAGCACAAGGAGAAGACAGGGGCACAAGACACTGAAAGACATATTGCAATCTTGTAAACATAACGGAATGAGAAAACAAATGTTATTGCAAAGCATCATACTGTAAGTCCACTGCATGAGTCTTCGACACAAACTTCTTCATTAAGGGGCTCCCCTACTCCTCTAGAATCATCAGCTAGTAGACGCCTTAATTCACAAAAACAGAGAAGCCATAATAAAGAAGGGGCAAAGCCTCATACTGCATGAGGTTTTACCTACGTGATTATATCAACTTCAGTTAAGAAAAAAAAATACGAGTCAAAAGATGCCAAACCTATGGAGCATTAGTTCAATTTGACCATCTTTAATGCTGGCTCCTCCAGTAGCACGATCCACCAAAACTGAGAACTCGTAGCTGCTGTCATTAGCATATATCCCAAGATTAATCTGAAAACACATGAAGCAAAATAAGCATGAAGTAAACTTGATCAATATTAATCAAGTAGATGAATGCAAAATAGGATAATATCATAGCTCCAGTTTACAAGTCTCTCAGCAGTAACTGAAATTAGAGGCCTACAATCAACCTAATATTACTTATATTAGTATGGCTATGGCGGTATGCTTGCCTTCCCAGAGAAAAATAGATAAGCAGCACAAGCATTTATCTTATTCATCTTCATCTGTAAATTTGAACCCTATCATGGAACAGTATAAGCAGAATCGGGGTTTACTTCTGATTTGTTTTGCATGAAGTAAAAGTCTAGGTATACAGAGGAGTGAATAATTAACACCCCATCTAATATACTGAATTGCCATAAATTCATTCTCTGCAGTATCTTCTTCATTTATAACTGTCTAAGTCATCCACAGAACATCTTGTAAATCCACTGACA